TGCGTGCGCTGCGTTTACATCCTCGACCCGTGGTTTGCGGCCTCCTCGTCCGTCGGGATCAACCGCTGGAGGTGAGGGCCAGGCGGCTCGCGGGCGGAAGGCGGGGTCAGGCTCTTACGGCCGAGGGAGATGGGCCGGGAGGACAGGGAGTCATCCGTCTTTCTGCCCTCCTCGAGCCAGGGCGCCACCTGTGACACAGCGCTTTCACGCCGTCATTCTGCGCCCCACGGCCTGCCAGGGGGGACAGAGACCTTGGTCCCCATTGTATAGATGGGACCCTTGAGTCCTGCAGGCGCAGAGTCGGCCTGCCCAGAGACACAGCCAGGGAGGGGCCCAACGGGGACTCCTGGGGAGTTCTCTAAGGGACGTGCACGGGGAGGGGTGGAAGGGGCTGTGGTTTGACTGCGGGGAGGGATTTCTGCTTACAGTCTTCAAATGAAGATCTCATTACTGGGCTCCTGCTGATGCTTATTTGAATCTGCCCTTTCCCCTATCCTGGCTTCCCTCCACCCAGAGGTGAGCCTCTGGAGGTGTGGAGACGCTGCTCAACCTTCTCCTGTTTTATAGATAAGGATCCCAAGGGTATCTTCAGGTAGAGGCACTCACTGTTTGTTCTGAGCGCCAGAACAGTACTACTTAACTCAATTTAGCCACTGTGATCTTGCTAGAAAAATCTTTAAAAGGAATCTAAGTGTCACTCTTTCCACTTCCTCGCTTGAGACGATTTTAAGAGGACAGTTCAGTCATGATAGACTATATTTTTATGAATTTATGTGGCAAGGGCAAGGAACAGGAAAGCCATGATAGCAGGGGCCCCTTATTGGTGGCTCATTGGTGGGTGGAGTCCTTTTACAGGACTACGGAAAGGATTAACAGGTAGCTAGTTATTTTTCTAAAACTGTATTTAAAGCAGAGTTTTGGTACATAGTGTATCCATCACTCTTTAAAACTACAGCAGTGGCTTGGGTTGTTTGCTCGTGACCTTGTTGCCCGGATAGGCAGGGATCGGTTTCTTCCAGGATGCAGTTGTTTTCGGCTCTCTGTTCTTTCTTTTCCAAGGTGTGTGCTCTGCTAAGAGACTGAGTGCTTCTAGCAGTAGGCCTATTAAATGTCCCCTCCTGCCCCACTTATATAGAGGGAGCGACTAAAGATAGTTCTGTGGAGAGCCTGCCCACACTGTTTTCAGTCTGCGCTACTGCTCTGACTCGCTCCAGTTTCTATAGATAGGGGGTTGGGTTGACGAACACCCTCAAATGACCATCTCTAGTGTGGACATTACACCAGGCCGCAGACTTTGGCTCCCTTCTTTTGTCAGTGTGCCAGCTACAGCAGACTAAATAGAATCCAGCTTCCTGCTTATTAAGCTTTGGTGAAGGCGACTCTTCTCTTACTGGGCTTTGGAGACCATTGCACAGGCTGCCTACTCCTTTGGGGCAGTGGAGATTAAAATCTCTGTCACTGATTAAATGCGACTTTTGCTAGGAATTCTGTTTAAGAATTTTTGTGGGTCACCCTTTTGTAATTGTGCTTTCAAGGGAGTGAAGGAGAAAGGGAATGTGGTAGCTCTGATGCCTGAGTTAAATCTCCATGTCAGGAGAGGAGAGGAGAATGCAGATATTAATCTAGTGATTATTTAATGAGTCCCTAAAATCTGTGGGTGCTGTGAATGATCAGGTGTGTGTCTCTGTTCCCAGAGCTGCCAGAGCCTTCATTTTAATGGAGAAAGACATATGAATAACCATAATTTAGTAGAACTAAATGCTGTGAAAAAATAAAATAGGGAGATGGACTAGAGCAACAGCACAGGCAGTCTCTGCCACACATTGGAATCATCTACGGGTTTTTAAAGGAGGCACCACCCCCATCCTTATTGACTTGTTCAATAAGAACAAGTTGGCCTTGAAATTAGGGTTTTTAATGAGCTCATTGCAGCGAAGCCTGAGAAGCACAGACTAGAGAAGCAAAGACTTCTCCAGGCAACCTGGGAAATGTGTTGTGCGGTACACTGGCAGGAAGTCTAATTAGCACTGGCATCCTGGAGAAAGAGGTGAAATAACACAAAAAGATCAAATTTGTTAACTGCGCCTGGGCCTGGCGACAGGCACGTTCCTACCAGTCTCACCATTCTTGCTCCCAGGTGGGTGGAAGGCAGGGTGGCCTTCTGCTTTGCGCCCAGGATTGAAGTAGGGAGGAGTGCTGGCACCTGCCGACTGCACCTCTGCATAGCTGTGATATGTGTAACCTTCCGGTGGCTGTCTCTGGATCCTGGGAGGGGCCTGGGAGAACTATGCTGCAACGCAGCATCCTAGCTTCAACTGCTTGAGTTGCTGTCTGTCTGCAAGGCCCTCCAGGAAAGGTGGGGGTCCATCTGTAAGAAGTGTGGGGAATCAAATCTCTTCTGTTACCCTCCTGCATATCCTAACTCCCACGCAGCATTCCTGTGGATGGGCTTAGATGAAAATAACTATGGATGACACTCTAAAAGAAGACGGAGAAAGGCAACCAAGAAATATGTGTATGCACTGGCGTAGGAGAGGCCAGCACTGGTGGTGGTAGGAAACCTGTGAGCACCAGTTGGCCTGAGCCCTTTGCCATTTTCTCTAGCCCCTTTCCCACACTTGCTGCCTCTGGAAGGAGGCACTATAGCAAGAGCAGAAACAAAAGAAGGGTATGAGCAGCTTCTGGATTCTAAAATGAGTACTCAAAATAGACCCTTGCAGATTTTAGTTACCTTTCACCCAAGTGCAACTTAGATGTTGGTTGACAACAATTCTTGTCACACTATTGAAATCATTTTGTCCCTGGCTCTGTGCTGCACCTCTTTCTGGAGCTTCAGGGATAGAGGTGGTAGAAATAAAATAGTCTCTCAGCCCATTTCTCCGAGAATTTGTAAATGAAGTAAACTGGGAACTCTTCAAATGCCCGGTGAAAAGGAACTGCCTCTTTCCAAATCTTGGGAGTTAGACACTGTTGGGCTGTCAAAGGGGGGAGTTTCTTCCCTGGAATTTGATCAGCAGAGGGATTGAGGACCGCATTCTACTGCTGGGGGAACTGTATTTCTCAATCCCGTTTATTCTGGTACCTTTACAGGCCTGCCATTAAGGACATGTGCCCAAGAGGGATAAAAACGTTCATCTTTCTCTCTGAGATGAGCAAAGAATCAATATAATTTTTATCTGAATGATACTAAGAATTCAGTTCCTGCTGTGGATTGAGTTTAGATTATCTTTTTCCTGGGGCTTATATTCCCTTGATTATTTAGCAGAAATTAATTTATCAGTTTATCCTATGTAGCCAGTCTGTGCCAGTTAACGGTGTCATCATGGTTAGAGAACCTTGGCTCGAAGCAGAGGAACTTGGTCAGGGACAATCTGGACCCAAAAGAAATCACTATCATCCTCCTCCCCTCATGAACAGCAAATAAAGTCTTTCTCAGAGTGCTTCCCTGGGTGCGATGTTCCTTGGTACAGGAGTCAGCCAGGGTCTGCCTATTTTACCCTAATGGGCTACCTGCTGGAGTCCCCGATTACAGAGTCCTCTGTATTTTTGGAAATTCCAATTTGGTTTGCTCCAGTCCGTCTGCCTCTGGCTCCCAGGGACTTACATAATATAATTCAGTTGCACATGTCATCTAATCCAAAGAGTGAGCCTGAACTGCTCACACAGGACCTTGTGCTCTGAATTTGGGCCATGTGAGCTCAGCTTAGAACTGCCAAGGGTGGAATGCCAGACCCCATCAACCAGTGCCTGCGCCGATTTCCTTTGGATGCCCCCTGGTTGGAGCAAAGAGAAACCAGTCATGTGCTGAGGAGGAGGAAGAGCTCTGAGGCACAGAGCGGGGCTGGGGTTCTGCTGAGTAAAAGAACGCGTGCACCTGCCCAGTGAGCTTTGCCCAGTAGCAGCCCTGCTCCAGTCCCTTTGGTTTTACAAAAGACTGTCTGTCACCTGGCAGGCCTGAAAGGTTGTGCTATAGTGGGCTGCCACAACCCTCCTCTGTCTCCTGTCTTGCTTCCTGGGAGCCCTGCAGAGCCCTCCCTACGGCTTATCCCAGAGTAGTTGAAAATAGAGCATTTCTTCAGGGCCTGAGAGGCAGAAACCAGGATCTCAGAAAGGAGAGAGAAAGCAAGCAAGAGCACACATAGAAACACATTTGAAGCAAGGACAAAAGGCAAAAGCAAAGTCCATTTCCAGAAATGTACAGATGAACCACCAGGTGGTCTTGTAAAGTAGGCTCAAGGCCTGTGATGAAAGCTGAGGTCCTTCATTGCAGCAAGGTCCTGGGTGATTCACAGCTAGCTTTGAGCAGAAGACCGCACTCCGAAGAGCACAGATCTTGGCCTCCGCGTTGGGCTGTGCTACTCCCTAATGGCTGAGCCCTGGACAGCATGGCTCATTGCTCACTGCACGGGGCAGTGGATCCTGGTGGCCAAGAATGAACTCACGAGCCAGACAGATCACCTGGGGTGGAATTCTGGCCACTTAGCAGGTAGATGATGTTATTTAATCTCCCTGTGCATCAGTCTCCTCATCTGTAAAATGTGAATAAAAATAGTACCTACTTCATAGTGCTGTTTGAGAATTAAATGAGAACATATGCAGAGTAGCGCCTGGTGCACCGTGAATGCTTATGAAATGTCGTTGCCAGTATTGTGTTGCTGGATTCAGAACTGGGCCTTCTGCTTCTTCCTGTCCAGGCTATAGATATCTCTGTCAAAGAGTGAAAAGGCCTCTCGTATATGCAGTAAGAGAAGAGCGAAGAAGCTAAATGAGGCCTAAAAATATAGTTCTGTGGAAGGCAGATTGTAACATGTTCTAGAACTAGATTTCCTATGCTTTGAGCCTTATTTACAGCTCCAGATCAGAGTCCTCACCTGTGCAGCCTGATGGGCTGCATGGCAGGACATTCCCAGGAGCCTCAGATGGAGGGAGGAATCTGTCCTGAGATTGTGGAATAAATCGCCTCTTGTCTCTAGGCCTTCTCCCTGGTGGGGCCCGGCTTCAGGTGGCTGAGGCTATTTCATGGGTCTCTTCTTGTCCTCCTGGGAGGAGTAATGAGACCTAGAGGAGGGCAATGCCAGTGTGTCACCATCACGGAGAGATGCCGATTGCTTAGCATTCAGGGGGTGTCAGGTTCTCAGAGGAGACACTCACAGAGGTGGCGCTTTCAGTTTGCATACAGCAGCATTCACTTGTCCATCTCCCATCCTAAACCTGCATGCTGTGTATGGCTAAGGAGATGCTTTGGGCCCGGCTCAGGGCTCAGCTCATGCTGGAATGTGGGCCTGCCACTTTTTCTGTGGGATTGTGTCACGTTGCAGACGTCAGAGGCAGCAGCGGGGGTTGGTCCTGGTTGCAGCCTGGCATAGTCGCTGCTCTGTAAGATGCCAGGGGTCAGGGCATGTGATGTGCTAAAGAGGAGGTACAGGAGGATTTCATTGTGCTAAAAATAAAATCTGGTGACTCCTGTAGTTGACAGAGACGAAGGATGCAGGGGACAAGTGGGAAAGGCCAGGACTAGATAGCAGGCTCCTCAGAGGACCTGGGACATAGGCAGTCGGCCCTGTCAGGCATGGTCCTGAGGAGGAACAGAAGAATGTCAGTGCCTTACCTGTGTAGGCCTGTCTGTCACAGCACGGGATCCAGCCGAGGTCTGCCGGGTCTCACCCTGGAGCATACTGGCACCACACTGGAAGTCTAGAAATGCAGCACAGAGAAGAAAACATGGGGGTTAGAATCTGACCAGCCTGGTTCCTGTACCAGCTCTGGCATTTAATAAAGCTATGATCTTAGGTGAATTAACCTGTCTTTCTCAGTTTCCTCATCTGTACAGTGGGGAAGTACAATTTCCTTCAAACTTCATTGAAGAATTAAATGAGGAAATGCACTTTAAAAATGTGACAGGCAGGGCCAGGGATTTAGCTCAGTGGTTTCACCACCTGCCTCACAAGGTCCCACGTTCAATCCCCGGTACCAAAAAGAGCATGCCAGACACATAATCAAATTGATGACCTTGGTTGCCTTTGAGGAGAGAAGCAGGAGAGGACACTTCTTACTGTGCATGCTTTTGTCCCTGGGGTTTTGAAACACATGAATAGTTATCTGGTTAAAATGGTAATTTAAAAATAAACCATGGAAGGTACTCAGCAAAGGTTAATTTCCTGTCCTCTCTCCTGCACGGACTCTTGAATGTCTGTGGGGTCCTCTCACCCCCATCTCAGTCCCTTGTCCCTCTTGGAACAAGAGCCTGGTGGGTGAGTCTCCTGCCAAGCCTGGGCTCTAGGAATTGGGGACCCAGCCCAGTCTGTGCTTGGCTGTAGCCTTGGAAACACACAGCCCAAAGTATAAATGCAGAAAGGCAAAGAGGTCACTGGGCCAGGATCAGTAGGGCTGCGGCAGCCCATTCGTCTGCTAATGGGACCTGATTTCTTCCCTGGCACGATGTCGCAGCTGTGTCTCGAGGGCTTTCTCATCTGTCCTCTCGTGTGAGTGTCACACTGAGGCTGAGAGAATAGAGGGCTTGCTTGTCTGATCGCTCACAAACACAGCACAAGGAGCAGCTCACGTTTGTCCCGCTTGCTCTTTGTGCCACACCCTGAGCTGAATGTTTTTCCCACATTATTTGATGTTCTTTTTGTAGCAATTCTGAGCACTCACATGTCAGTGTCTTTGTAAGTACTGGCATAATTCCTTGCTGCAGAAGAGAAACGGTGTCTTGTTGGTGCTGTCACTGCCTAGAGTCATGTGACTAAGAGGTTGGCAGGGCCAGGATTCCCTCCGAGGCCATACTGACCCACTCTCTCATCCCTCCTGGGCTGGAACCCAGGCCTCCTGCTCCACACATCCTTGTTGGGCACAAAGTGGGCCAGTTCCTCCCGCTGCGTTAGGAGAGAGTTCCTCTGTCATGTGACCATTGACACATGTGCTATTGTGTGGCCCCTGCAGGTTCCTACTGCAGTCTCTGGAAGATCTGGACACAAGTTTAAGGAAACTCAACTCCCGCCTGTTTGTGGTCCGGGGACAGCCAGCGGACGTGTTCCCGAGGCTATTCAAGGTGAGTGTGGGGGCCCCGGAGGACAGGGAGATGCCGCTCCTGGGCTTCCCTGCAGACTGCGTGGGATGCTGCGCCAACTGAGGGAATGGAAATGTTGGGGCTGGTCTGGCCATCAGATGGCTGCCAGGGAAGCGGGAAGCAGAGGCAGCTGATGAGCTCGCCAGCAGGGTGGAAATGTTAAGCAGAAACTCACGCGAAGCCAGTGTCTGGTTGAAAAGCTCCCAGCTCAGTCTAGACATGCGATGCGGTAAGTCATTCCACCCGTGGGCACTGGCTTCCTTAGTTATTCTCTTGGCTCAGGGCATTGTGGGGTTCATTAGGGCTTCTGCTATGCCAGGACTTGGAGGGTGGGGTTTCCTGTCTCTAAGAGCCATTTCCCATCTTGCTTTGTTCTGCTTCTAGGGGGGAAAGTTACCTTTCCAAGGGAGCATCCCTGTCTCCTACTGGGCGCCACATAGAATCCTGTGTGCCCATGGGGGCAGCAGCCACTTCTCTCCCAAGTCTTTAAAAAGGCCCCAATGAGACAGAAGCGCCCACAGGCAGAGAGCTGCAGGCACCTCTTCATCCTTGCAGCACATGATGGTTTTCATGTCCTTCCACCCTGGCTCCATAGCTAGAGAAGTCTGATGTCAAGGCGGATGGCTTCATAAATGTGTCATCGTTCCCCTCTCTCCCCACATGCCCACAATTACAAATCACTCAGTACTAGTAATGGCCAACCTCCGTTAAGGGCTGACTGTGAGTCAAGACCATTCGAAGAGCCAACCCGCATTAACTCACCTGCAGCAGCTCTGGGGGCCGCACTGCTCTCCCTGTTTACAGGGGAAGAAACGATCCTGGTCACAAAGCTCGTAAGCAATCCATGGACTCCAGAGCTGTGTCCTTACCCACCGTACCGCATAAGTGCATCTGCTGGGCTGGGGACAGCTCAGCCTTAGGTTGCTTGCCTGACAGCCCTCAGCCTGGGATTGATCGTCAATACTAGGGGAAAAATGTCATCTTTCCTTTTTTGTTGGTACCAGGAGTCAAACTTGGGGCCTTGTGATTGCAAGGCAGGCGGTGGCACCACTGAACTAAATCCCCAGCCCAAGCCTTTCTTATTCCTCCTTGTTGCTTCTCTTCCCTAGCACCTCAGAAGCCAACCCAATTTACAGCTAAGAAAAGGGACCACTTGTTCATTCAGTCATTCATTGTATATTTATTGAGCTTCTACAATGTACGAGGCCTCATACCAGGTAGCAAGGTAACAATGATGAGTTAGACAGCATGGTTTCTGCTCTGAGTCCCCACTCTTAATGGGAACCAGGCAGGTCATGGGCAACTTCATTGCCACATGATAAATGCTGTGTTGGGAATAGGACAAGGTTTAGGAGAATCAAAAGAAAGGAGGGTGTCATTTAATAATAGTATGGAATTAGTCACAGGGTTATGGTGAATACTTAATGATGTAGTCTAAGACTGGGGATTCAGCTCAGTGGCACCGTGCCTGTCTCACAAGCACAAGGTCCCACATTCAATCCCCGGTACCAGGGAAAATGTAGTCTATATGATTCTTGAGCTATAGGAAGGGCTCGACCAGTGTGTAGTACTTTCTTCCTTGCATGAGGGATTGTTCACCCTGCTGAGGACCATTCCCACCAAGCAGGGCTGTGTCAGGACCAGACCAGCCTGGGCATTGCTGAGATACTTCTCCCTGGGTTCAGAGCCTTGAGTGACCGTGACCAGAGGTAGACTGTGTTTCTCTTCTTGCAAGTTACATGCGCTGAGGCCCTCTGGGGTTGTCCATATAGCCTTTTACAGGGCTGGCTTTCCTTGGTGTTGCTGAGAGACCTAGACATTCCTACCAGAAGGGACTGAAGACTTAGACTTCTCCTCTCAACCTGCAGGCACTCTGCTCTAATTTCTCCCAACTCTGGACTACTTCCTGACCCAGAGAGCCAGAGTCTATTAGCTCAGTTTGCTCTTGGCCTCAGCAGTGTTGCTGTGGAAACCGTGAAGACACTTTACATAGCACGAGTCTGCCAAGAAAACTAGGCCACAAGTTTGCAGGCTATGAAGAGCCCTGGGAAAGGCTTGCCGAGCAGTTGGGAGCGGTCCTGTCCCCTGCTGGCTCCACTGTGAGTCAGTGTCTCTTTCTGGACCAGGGGTCTCCTGGAAGCCCTGTATTTATAGCTTCCTGCTTCATTCTCCTCCCCCAAGGGCACAGCAAGCACACAGACACCCTCTTCTCCCAATCTTGCCACTGCTCTGCCCTGGCTTCTCCTCGCTGGCTGCCTCCTCACACTTTCTCACCTTGGTGCTTATTGCTCACTTTTGTGAGTATCCCTCGTGTGTTCTTCAGCCATTTCTCTGGGGCTGGACACTGGCTCTGTCTGCTCCCAGGAAGGAGCTTCTGCCCCGTGACCCCCACCTCTAAACAGCACTGAGCAAGGGGCTGGAGATTTAGCTCAGTGGCGCTGCACCTGCCTCACAAGCTCAGGGTCCTGAGTTCGATCCCCAGTACAGCAAAAACAAATAAAAACAGCACTGAGTGTGACAGTCTCTCCCCATAGGAATGGGGGGTGACCCGCCTGACCTTTGAGTACGACTCCGAGCCCTTTGGGAAGGAACGGGATGCAGCCATCATGAAGATGGCTAAGGAGGCTGGAGTGGAGGTGGTGACTGAGAACTCCCATACCCTCTATGACCTGGACAGGTAAGGCACAGGCTCAGGGTCAGGTGGCCCATTGTGAGGGCTGGGATTCGGGCCCCTGCTGAGCGGAATTAAGGGAGGCTGGGCCATAGAGCCACCGGCCCTGGGGGTGTGACATTTTCCAAAGCCTGCGCCTCTAGAACAGGTCACGGGGAGCCTACCCTGATGTGGGTGGCAAGGAGACAAATTAGGCCAAGGCATGGGAGAGGGAAGGTCTCCACTCGGGATCTTCGTAAATCTGCTCCTGCCCTGTTTATGTCTCATGCACCCCAATTCTTCTTGCTCCTCGGTGCTGCCCTCTGTCCTTGGCAGATCCTGCCTGGGACCCCTCCCAGCAGAACCCTTTCTCATAGACCCAGTGTCTGTACCAGGGTGCGTTACCAGGCCCCCTGGCTCTCTGGGTTTCCGGGCCAGACCTCTTGGAGAGAGGGGGCTTTAGAGATCCCTGCCATGGAGCCACTGCCTCTCGGTGACAGACCTCTGTGCCTCTCCCCGACTGGGCTGCCCGCCAAGAGGCCGGGTCACACAGCCGCACACGTGAGCCGGGGCTCAGGAGGAGAGGCCAGGTGCGGCCACATGCAGGGGTGGGGGCCCCGCAGAGCAGTGCCAGCCGACCATCCCGGCCAAGCAGGGCAGCAGCAAGCGCAGACAGCAAACGACTCACCAGCCAGTTGGGTCTTGCGTAAGCTGCTCTTGGCCAGCAGGAGCCCAGGAATCTGGCAGCAAACCATTCCCCTTTATCCTTATGTAAACAGCCTCCATTCTCATTTTCACTCCCGTCTCCACGTTTTCTTCTGCACGAGTACTGTTAGTGCACCCATTCATGGAAAATACTTTGTGGACTGCAAAGCTCTTTAGGTAGCAGTTGTTGCTATTACTCCTGCCCCAGCCCCCCTGTTCTTACAAGCAGGGGCCAACAAGAGGAGGGTTTTCTAGAAAGAAACACATTTGCAGCTCTCCACACATTTCTCCGAGGCTCCTGCTGGCGGGGAGAGGGCCACGGTGTGGTCATATAGGCTCAGGACCAAGAAGGCCAGTGGGGACTTTCCTGTGGTTAGAGAGACACGGTCAGTCTCTGTCTCTAGGTGGCTCCGTGCGAGCACCAGGAAACCTGGCGTTGAGTCCCAGCTTTGGCCCTGCCTTGCTCCATTCCCAGAGGCTCCTGCTCCAGCTCTCTGGGCTTCATTTTCCCTCTCGGTAAAATGGAGGTGCAGCCCCTACAACCCCTCCTCTGCACTCAGTCGGGACCTGTGAGTGGACAAGGAGAGCCACCCCAAAGCCTTCAGAGTCGGGCTCTTTTTGGGTGGGCAGGGACCTGGAACAGGGGCCCCTGGGAGTGATGCCAGATGTGCTTTGGGTCCCCAGGATCATCGAGCTGAATGGGCAGAAGCCGCCGCTTACTTACAAGCGTTTTCAGGCCATCATCAGCCGCATGGATCTGCCCAAGAAGCCAGTGAGCGCGGTGAGCAGCCAACAGATGGAGCGCTGCCAGGCAGAGATCCAGGAGAACCATGACGACACCTACGGTGTGCCCTCCTTGGAGGAGCTGGGTGCGTACGTCCTCCCAGGCCCCTCGCGTAGCTGCTTTCTCCTGTGGAAAGTAACTTATTGGGGTTTCCTTTGTCAGATTAACACATGTTATATTATAGAAGGCTTGGAAAACATCAAACAACAAAGTGGAAATAACCTCTATTCTCCCACCCTGCAGTCACCACATTGATTTTGGAATGCGTCCTTTCAGTCTTACTGCTGTGTGCCTCATGCAGCCTACGGTTTCTGGCTCCTCCCTCAGACAGTAAAGTCACTCTCTGGTCTGACATTAGTGGGCTTCTCCGTGCAGGGTAACAAGTGTTGTTGCCATGCACTGACTGCACTGCCTTCCTTTCTCCCCCTTCCATCTCTGGATCTGAACAATGCTAACCCTTCAACCTGAAAACCACACTCAGTGCCAGCTCATCTGAAAGGGCCAGAAGTCGAGGATTGCTCCGACCTGCCCAGAATGATGAGGGACCAGGACAGGGAAGGCAAGGGAAACAGGAGAAAATAGTGACAATTGGAAGAGAATGGAGATGACCTAGAAAGTGCTAAAACTTGAAGAATTATCTCTTGGTTTCAGTAGCACCAAGAACAAGAGCACACATAGTCCGTTTCTCTCAGAGTGTGAAGAAGAGGTCAGTGTGTCTGAGCTGTGCGCCGTGACTGCAGTGGCCTGACCTCCAGGCCTGTGACTGGCTCCTCCTCTTACAGGGTTCCCCACCGAAGGACTTGGCCCCGCTGTCTGGCAAGGAGGAGAGACAGAAGCCCTGGCCCGCCTGGATAAGCACTTGGAACGGAAGGTATGACCTGTTTCCGAACCTTGGAACGTAGGTGCCGGAGTTGTGCAGGAGGGGACATGGTACAGGTCTGTGTCTTGATGCCTTTTAGCACCAACTGGTTAGGAAGTGAAAAGGTCTCCCAGTGGCAAAAATAGCAACCACAAAAGTAGCAACAGCAACAATAGCAGCTACCGTTTAGAGTCCTTCCCTTCTGCTGATCATGGGGTGGTACATTTCTGGATTAAGTACCTGCTTGCATTATTGCCTTTGATCTTTCCAACAGCCCTGCAAGGTAGGTATTAGGCACCCCATTTTGTAGGTTACGGAAGTGAGGCTCAGCGAGGTGAATGACTTGCCTGAGGTCACGTAGAGTGAGTAGTAGAGTGAGACGTTGGCCTGTATGGTTGGAAACCTCACACCAGATTGCGTTTCTTGTACGGTATCTATGAGCAGGCTCCCCATACTAAGTGGGTATCTGGTCGCACAGTCTGTGAAATTCACACCTTTGTGTTGATGTCCCCCCGCCCCCACCCCTTGCTGGGTCTCCTCCAGGGCTTTGATTTCCATTTGCTTGGACCAGAGAGCAGATGGCCCATTCTCTTGGCAAGAGAAGGGAAGAGGCCCTGGCCCAGCGGCACCCCCTCAACCGTGGCACATAGCCCCTCACGCTGTGCCTGGGAGCAGCTGACTGGGAACTGTTAGTCGCTGGTACCCTGCCTTGCAGCTGGCACTTAGTGAGAACTTCTGTTGCTGCTCGGATGGCATTGTGCCTGGCAGCCAGTTAAAAATGGCCAGAAGTGACCCTGTGCACTGGAGACATGAGACTAGTGTCCAAGGGCCATGGGAGGACCAGCTTTCTCTTCTGATCGAGAGCTGTAGCCAACAATTCTTGGGCTCAGTTTGGAAACAAAAGTTGGACCAAAGGGGCAGAAGCTGGAGATGACAATGGAATGGCAGAATGAAACTTAAAAATGTAAAGAGCTAATCTGCGTCCTCGTGCGTTGTAGTTTTTGTCACCTTAAAAGCATTTTACAAGGACTGCCCGTCCGATCACCAAGTCAGCAGTTATTTTTCCGTACGCCCCTGCAGGGCCCCTCTGTCATGGACCCTTCTATCCGAGGAGTGGCCGGAGGAAATACCCTGTCCTGCATATCTGGGAGAGCAGAGGTGCTGGCTGGGCAAGAGTTGAACCTGGCTAGGCTTATTTGAACCTTTTCAGTCTCCATCTGATGTGAGCAGTCCCTCACATCCCTAGGACACCAAGATGTCCTAGCTGCTGCAAGGATTGCCCAGCAAGATGGCAGGAGCCTGTCTCCAGAGTCTACTAGAGATGACGTTAAACAGGGGTAATAGATGCCCTTAGGTTTAGGAAAGGAAAAGCGGGGGGGGGGAATAAAGAGCACGAGGATAGCAGCTGGCTCTTGTTGCAGCCGGTTTTCAGGAAAGGGAGGTTTCTAGTGCACACAACCAGGACTCTGAGTGGTAGCCTTCAGGCACAGCTGGACCAGGTGTCCAGAGAAGGCTGTCGGAGGGGGATCTGCATCTCCCTGTTCTGCTTCCCTCTGTATTCGTCCGTTCTCAGGCAGACTTTCTTGAGCTTGTTGTCCATCTGTTTGGAAACACCAGAGGAAGGTTTGCCTCTCTCCCAAAAATGCCAAGGAGTGTTTTCCTCGGCCTGGCTTGGACCGTGTGACTTTCTCTGACTCAGTCACTGGCTGGGATCAGGTGCTTTTCCTGGCTGCATTCACATCATGAGCCCACTCCCTGAGTTGAGAATGGCCTTAGCTTAATAAGGCAGGTTGGTTCCACAAGAAAATAGATGCTGTTACCAAAAATGAGGCCAACTGTGTGGTCTTTACTGCTAGGTTACACATGGAAGATGAGGACAAGCACCCTGCCCTAAAACTCTTCTGATTATCCATCACAGCCCCCAGGGATAACACGTTGTGCGTTAATGACCACCAGCACCACGGACAGAGACTTCGGGCCTTGTGTGTCCTGTAGACTTCCCCAAGGGTCAGCCCCGAGTCCAGGCCAGCCTCTGCTGTGAGCCACCTGTTTGCAGCCAACGCAGGACAGACGGTCTCACTGAACTGACAGAGAGTGTCCAGTCAGCACGACCAGCCTGGAGTCACCATCGGTCCAGTGGCCTGGGTTCTTCCACAGAAAAATGCAAAGGAGAAGGCAGGTGGCAGGAAGTGCATGCGTTTGTCTCAGTTGCTTTCTTGTCACTAAGACACAGCATCAAACACCCACGCTTTAAAGGAGGAGAGGTTTATTTGGGTTCACAGTTATGGTCTGTGGTTGCCAGGCTGCAAGGCAGAACGGCCTGGCAGAGGGGATAGTGGAGGAAGAGCTGCTCCTGTCGTGACAGCCAGGAAGCAGAGAGAGAAAGGAGGAGCAGGGAGGGAGACGGGCCCCAAGTCAGCCTGCCCTATCCCACCTCCTACCAGCAGGCCAGCTCTAGCGCCCCCTGGTCCAGTCCCCTTCCCGAAGCCCCACCTGTGAGCCCCTGAGGCCCTCGGAGCATTCTCCATGTAAACCATAACACAGTGAAAACAAGTTTAGGTAGCATTGAAGTTGTTTAACTGGCGTGTAAACATTTCAGGTGTTCGGGAAGTAATCATAAAATAAGGGCTAGGAGTGACTTGAGGAGAGGAGGTGATGGTTCCGGAGTGATTAGATTACATGGGTGTTGGCCTTGGAATAATCCATTAAGTTTCATGTTTGTGTGGGTTTCTGTGTCTGTTTCACTTAAAATAGAAAGGTTGAAACAATACAAGGCTGGGCGCTGGGACGACCTAGGCTGTGCAGATACCCAGTGTCTGTTCCCAGTGCTTAGGTGGGGACTGGAAGGGGGCTGCAGCTAAGCGGGTAGCAGCAGTAAGACTGGCTCCAGGCAGAGGACATGTGTTGGAGGGCTGCTGAGAGCAGGGTGCAGAGAGGAGAGCACTGAGAGGCAAAGCTGAGGGTGTGGGGCCTCCTAAGCCACGTGAGCTGTGCACTGGATTTGGGCCTCTGTCCTAAGAGCAACGGGATCGCTCTGGGCCCAGCAGGAGTATGCGTGAGGGGCCAAGACTAGGTGCAGGGGGCCAGTCGGGCTGTCGCTGTTGTCTACATGCAACCTTGGCCTGGACCACATTGGTCACAGTAGAGAATATACAGGAAGCAGATTTGAGAAATAGTGGAACAGCAGAATTGACAGGAGAGGGGACTTGGGAGGCTGAGGCAGTAGGATCACCACAAGTTTGAGTCCAGCTTAAACACATAGTAAGTTCAAGGCCAGCCTTAACTATACCGCTGTCTCAAAATAAAGAAAAATTGCTGAGTAGAGGAGGCATGGCCTGCAGAAGGCCAAGAGCAATAGCCAGCTAGGAGGTGGCTAGGAGAGGGGAAGTATAGAATCACTAAGGCACAAGGAGCAGATGAAATGAGGCTCCAGACAGCTGCGTACAGTGCCACTGGGAGATTAAAATACAAGAACAGAAAATGCTGGTCCAGTGGCATGGAAGTCACAGGTGGTACCAGCGTCACGGAGTAGCAAAGACAGGAGACAGCCGCTAGAAGTGGAGAGGTGGGCTGTGAAGGAGGAGAGGATGGAAGCCCACGGAGTACCTACCGGAAGTCCTTTGTTCTTGGTTTGCAGAGAGGAGAAATGAGATCACTTCTGCAGTGTTCTTGGAGTGGGGGCTGTGCCCAAGGGGAGACTGAGCGGGCGCAGGGAGGAGGGGAGGGGAGACACGGGAGGGGTGCACATGCTGCGGCTGGGAGCGGAGCTGTCCCACCTAACGGCTTCTGTCCATGTGGGAAGGGTGGTGGGAGAGGGGGCCGGACGGAGAGGGAGTGTGAGAGGTGGGAGGGTGTCAGGAGGTGCGAGGGGAAGGAGGCTGGAGTCAGCAGCTGCCGAGGGAGGGTGAGTGAGCGCCTGGATGCGAGGCTGGAAAGTGGAGCGCAGGGCCAGCGCGGTTGATGACCCAACAAGATCAACAGCATTAGCTGGCGAGTGGCCCCGGAGATACATGACTCTCGGTCCCAGAAGTGGGTCAGGAGTTCCCTGCTTCCGGCCGCTGGCCGCCAGCCGCTGCATGATGAGAAGTTGCCTCAGGCCCACTGCTCAGAGCAGGCACAGAGCTGGGAGACACAGCAGCTTTCTCTTCCTTCTAGACAATTGTAGCTTGTTCAGTGCCTTCAGAATCCTTTCATATCTCATTCAGTCCCCATTTAACCTATTTAATAGATGAGTAACTGAGGAACTAAATAACTCGTTCCCAGTCAGGCTACCAGTTTCTTTTCTTGTGGAGGGGTGAGTTGAGTGGTACTAGGGATTGAACCCAGTGCTTTGCAGAGCTTCGTGCTTGCCCAGCCCTTTATATTTTTTATTTTAACTTTTTGAGGCAGAGTCTTGCTAAATTGCCCAGCCTGGGTTAGAGCTTGCAATACTCCTGCCTCAGCGTCCCACAGTGCTCCACTATACCTGGCCCTGTACCACGGACAAAGCAGCAAGCTCAAGCAAGAGCTTGGGCCTTGGTGTCTGCCTGGTGACTCCGTCTCACAGTCCACAGCATGAAGCAGCAGAAGGCACAGTGTTCAAGTCCTGACTCCGTGGCTTGCTATTCCATCGAGGCCTCAGGCTTTTCCCTCTGTAACGCCCAGGCCTTTCCTTTTGTCTCTTCACCCGCCCTGCAGGCCTGGGTTGCCAACTATGAGAGACCCCGGATGAATGCCAACTCCCTGCTGGCCAGCCCCACAGGCCTCAGCCCCTACCTACGCTTCGGCTGCCTCTCCTGCCGCCTCTTTTACTACCGCCTGTGGGACCTGTATAAAAAGGTGAGTGCAGCTGAGGATTTAGCTCAGTGGTTCTGCCGCCTGCCTTGCAAGCGCAAGGCCCCGAGTTTGATCCCCAGTACCAAAAAAAAAAAAAAAA